TCCGGCGCTGTGTGGCCGCGGCCGGTGGCCCCGTGCGGAGGCAGAAGTACCGCAAAGTTGTCGCGTGAGTGTGATGCTGGCGAGAGCTCGTTTCCGAGCCGAGGGAGCAATCCAGTTCGGCTCCGTGAGCCTCTGCCCCGGCTTGCTCTCTCCCCAGCGCCATCGCCGGAGGCCCAGGCCGGCGTCGGGGAAGCGCCGAAAGAACCCATCATGCCGGACATGGGCGGCTTGCACAGAAGCACAGAAACCCTCCCCCCAGATTTCCCTAGGCAGCCACGGGAACCCACAGATGTGCCATGACACCCCACAAACTGGCTTCAAAGGAGGAGACTGCAAAGGAGGTGGCCCCCATCTTCAGGGGGAGCCAAGTATCTGTTTAAATACGAGGGGAAAGGCTGGTAGGAAGGTGAAAAATGCACACTGGTTAAAAGAGTTCTCCGGGACAACCTCTGAGGTTGCAGATGCTGAAGGCGTGGGGCTCACTCCAGACCCGGGTGTGAATCATCTCGTCCCGAGCGGCCCTTGTGGGTGAAGGTTGGCCCTGGAGTTTCCCCGACAGGTCCAGGTGCTGAGGACATTCGGACTCCGGGGAAAGTGGCTCCTTTGGGACCACGGCGCCCCACACAGCCCCCACTTGGTACCCCGTGCAGCCTCCACTCGGGGTGTGTGGCCAGGGCGCCCTTGAAACATGCATGGCCCGCTCACATGGAGATGTGTAACTCAAATGCCCACCGAATATAAGAAACTTAGTACAAAGAAAGGAATGCAAAGTATCTCAATAATTTTCATACTGGTTACATGTGGAAATGATAACGTTTTGAATATATTGGGTTAAATAAAATAAAATTACTTTTTATAAGGTGGCTATTCGTATATTTAAAGCTTCATATGTATTCACTTTTTTTTGCATAGTGCTAGGATAGATATAATGCTTAGGAAAGTTCTTGTCTAAACAAATGCCTTTTTAAATTAATAAAGAAATGCAAGTTAGAAGAGTAGAAAGGAATGGCAGGAAGCATCTTAAGCAAAACTGGCAGTGATAACTTGTAGGTAAATTACCTGTACTGCATTTTATTACAGACACATTTATTTGTTTATTCAAATACTAGAGGCCCGATGCACGAAGATTCGTGCAAGAATGGGCCTTTCTTCCCCTGGCTGTTGGCACTGCCTTTGCTCCAGCCCAGAGCCGCCTTTCCACACTGCCTAGAGGCCTGGAGAGGTGTCCCGCCCCACCTCCATCTTTGTTGGGTTAATTTGCATACTCACTCCCGATTGGCTGCTGGGCATCATGAAGGTATGGTCAATTTGCATCTTTCTCTTTTATTAGTGTAGATTATTTAGCACCTATTAAGTATCAGGCACTATATTAGGTGCAGGGAGTCAGTGTTAAGTGCACATAGTCATAGAATTTAGGGTCCTGGGTAAGACAGGAATTAAACATATAAATGAATAGGGAGATAATTACAGTGAAGAAAGGTGGTTATAATACAGGAAGTGATCCTTGAGTCAAGATCTGAGGATGGCGTTAACTAGGCAAGGAGAGGGGACAGTCTGAGCAAAGATCTTGTGGCAGGAGGGCACTTGGAACATTCCAGAAATTAGGGGCCAAGGTTTAGAGTACAGAGAACAAGAGGAAGGAGTGTATACAGAGGCCATGCCTAGCAGGAGCTTTAATGTCAGTGGGAAGCTATTGGCTTTAAGCAGGGAAGGGACATAATCTGCATTTTAAAAGATTATTTAAAAAATACCTATTGGCTACCCATGATGTGCCAGGCACCAAGTTCCTCAGGACAATATGCTCATGCCTGCCAGAAATGGACTGTTAGGTGGTGGTGTTCCCACTTTGGACGTGAAGAACATTAAAGTTGTGAAGTCCGTTTAATGGACAGAATGTCCAGAGGGATGTCTTGAAATTCACGTTGCCTGAAAGGAGAAATGGCCTTTGGTAGTAATTCATGGCCAAAGACTAATTGGCCAGTTAGTCAAGGACATGGGAAGAATAAGATTGGAGAACTGGTGATAAGGCATACCTGGAAAGGGATATTCTGGACCTTGCAGAATAAATCTGGAGAACAATATGGATGACATGAACCCCTGTGTGGATGAAACTTAGCCTCTTTTCTCAGGCTCAGTGGAATTATGGGGAAAAAAGGCAATGATAGACAGGATTGAGCTGTGCTTGGGATCACCGAGCCATTGCTGAATGTTGAGGTTGCCAGCAGCAGTGGCCAATCCTGAGCTGGTGATATACCCCATGCTCCAGGAGGATCAGCCAACCACCTGGAGGCAAGTTGATTCCATTGGCCCTTCCCAGTCGTTGAGGGAATAGTGATTTGTCCTCTCTGAAACACATTTACTGTAGGTTTAGATTTGCTTTCCCTGCTTGCTGTGCTTCTGTCAGCACCACCATCTGGGGACTTACAGAATGCTTCCTAGCCTGTTGTTGTGTCTGACACCATAATGCTTCTGGCCAAGAAACTCACTCTGTAATGAAAGAAGCAGTACAGTGGGCTCATGTCCATAGAATTCATTGGTCTAATTGTATATTCTGTCTCCAAGAAGCACCCGGTCTTATTGAAGCCTTAGTTATGGTGCCTTCTGGGAGGTAACCCTATTTGATGTGACTTCTAGGATGCAGTGTATGCTTTGAACTAGTGTCCAATATTTGGCACTCTTTCTTCCTGTTCCTATATTGCTCTTTAACCACCTCAAAACTTAGTGGTTTAAAAACAACTACAAAATGTACTTTGCTTGCAAATCTGTAATTTGTGCAGGGCTCAGTGGGGACAGTTTAGCTGTGTTCTACTTTTCCCATGATTCAGTTGGGGCAGCTGAAAATTGGGGGGCTGAAACCATCTAATGGACCACTCACTCCTTCACTGTCTGGTGACTGATGCTGAATCTGTACCACGATGCCTACTCATGGTCTTTCCAGATGCTGGTAGGTTCCTTACAACATAGTAGCTGGGTTCCAAGGGCAGGCACCCCAAAAAAGAGAAATTCAGGTGGACACTGTAATTAATGCCTTTTCTAAACTACCAGGAGTTCTGCTGCATCACTTCAAACTACATTTAGTTTATTAGGACTTACTAAAGGTGGTTATATCAAAGCAGACTCCTTTTTAATGGTAGAAGTGTCAAAAGAACTTGTGGATATGTTTTTAAAACCACCACAGTTCCATAAGCAAAATTTGATGGATTTCGGAGCAAAGAAATATACCTAGTGCCCCCCGCTTAGAGGTTTGTTTTTTTTTTGTTTTTTAAACTGCCATTCTTTGAGATTGTGGGCCTCCCTAGTTTAGAGGTTAATTTCAATGAAGAAAGATGGTTATAAGACAGGAAATGATCCTTGAGTCTTTGTGAATATGTTTTTAAAACCACCACAGTTCCATAAGCAAAGAAATATACCTAGTGACTCCCCACTTACAGGTGTTTTTTTTTAAACTGCCATTCTTTGAGATTCTGGGCCTCCCTAGTTTAGAGGTTAATTTCAATGGAGAAAGATGGTTATAAGACAGGAAATGATCCTTGAGTCAAGATCTGAGGAGTTAACTAGGCAAGGAGAGGGAACGGTCTCATGGCAGGAGGGAATGTGGAACATTTATATTCTAAAGAAAGGAATTCTTCAAACAAAGGCTGAACAGTGGTTCCATTGATTTGGAGCTGAGTCTGCTATCTATTTTGTATGTCTTGTGTCAATGGATAGTCAAGAGAAGGAGAAGAACAAGGTTATGGTATTGGTGGGAGTGATCAACCCTGATAACCAAGCAGAAATAGGTTTGCTGGTATACATAAACACCCAGATTCCTTAGAAATCAGACACTCAGATTCCTTAGAAATGAAGGTATTAATTGAAGGTAAAGGGAACACAGAATGGCTGGTAAAGCAAGGAAGTCATAATGGAGGTAAAACCCTCATGATCGGGGAAAGAAACGAGAGCTTCATCTCTATTTGTATTTCCTTTATTAATGTACTAGAGGCCCGATGCACGAAACTGATGCAAGGGGCTCGGCCCTCGCAGCCCCGGCTTCGTCCAGAAGGTCTTTTCGGCTGTCCGGTCTAATTAGCATATTATTATTGCTTTTATTATTATAGATCATGTATACTTTTATATGTTTTAACTTTTGTTTTCTTTCTTTACCTTTTACTTCGCTATCGTTTGTAGGGTGCGCTATTGTTGGTAAATTTCGTTATTTAGTCCCCAAGTTACAGAGGAATGGATATCACCTTGAGGTTCTAAACTTAGAAATGGATGGATGGATGTGGTAACTGATGAAACATTGGATTGACTTCCTCAGAGGGTGACAGAGTGAGTACACCTTTGATTGTATGAAGGATAGTTGCAATATTCTAAGTGACAACTTTTTTTTTTGACATAATAAACATTGAAAGCGGTGGTTATATTGGTGTTGGGCAGCTAAAAGGATGACTTCTTTGACATTTTTGTGGTTTTATTTACTGCTGTTCATCATTTGAATTCTCTTTCTGTGTTTGAGGAATTCCCCACTATGTGTCTTGTTGGTGGTGAGCACTGCTTACAGAAAATGAAAAAGACAGTTACTCATTTCTTTTTTTCTAGCCTTACAGCAAGAATGCGTGCATGTGACCTCAGCTTGATTAATCAAATGACATCTCAACTGTAACTTTTTGAGAAACTCGGAGTCAGCACCATTCAGCCAAACTGATCCTACATTCCTGATCTGCAGGAACTGTATGAGATAATAGATGTTTACTGTTTGAGGTGTCCTAATGGTAGGGTAATTTATTATGCCGCAATAGATAACTAATACACCCTCCCTTCTCCACAAGGAGGGGAAGTGTCAGTACCTTCACAACTCTACAAAGATATCTTCACCACCAGCCTCATCAATCTCCATTTAATTCTTTGTCTTCTCCTGTGTAACTGCCAGGAGGCTTATCCTGTTAGAATTCCTCTTGGCATTTCCTGCATAGAAAGATTGGCATCTCTGTTCAAAATGTAAGAAGGCTTGACACCTATTATATTGTTCTCAGATTTGGAGAACTCTGCTTAACGACAACATGAAAACTTCTGACATTCTGACAAAAATATGCACACACATGTTAAATAAAAATGCAGTAAAATTTAAAAGTAAATATGAAGCATGACCGGTGTGGCTCAGTGGTTGAGCATCCATCTATGAACCAGAGGTCATGGTTTGATTCCCGGTCAGGGCACATGCCTGGGTTCGGGCTCGATCCCTGGTGTGGGGCAGTAGGCAGCTGATCATTGGTTCTCTTATTGATGTGTCTCTGTGTCTGTCTGTCTGTCTGTCTGTCTCTCTCTCTCTCTCTCTCCCCCTTCCTCCCTCCTCCTCCTCTCTCTCACCTCCCCCTTCCTCTCTGAAATCAATAAAAATGTATTTTTGAAAAATAAAAGCAAATATGAATTCTAGAGGGCTTCTGTTTCCAAATAAACCAGGCTTGTTCTTGTTAAATCTTGCTCTGGAGGTTGGTCCTTCCCTCTGCCAGTTACTTGAGCAAATAATTAACTTAGGTTTCTATATCTGTAAAGTGGCATAAAAACATTACCTATCTCAAGGTAAATGAAACAATCTTAGCACAGTACTTAGTATGTGGGGAATCATCAATATTAATCATCACCTTGTTCAGGAAACATTGCTAGTGTTATGATTTCCTAGAGTAGGTTGTCTCATAAATTTTATGTAATATAGGCTTCATCACTTTTTAAAGTTTTCAAACCAGCTTGAAATGTCATATCTTTGGTTCTTGCCTTCTCCCTTTTTCTCAATAGCCTGGAGAAAGATTTGTGATCAGGCCTTTTTACAGATTGTCCCCATGCTTTAAATACATGTTTTCTGGCTCCACGATCAATCTGCTTAGTGAGCAAAGGGAAGGTAACCAGGTATGGCCTTGCAGACTTGCTATCACCAGAGTGGGGGGTGGGCATGAATGCTTTAGTGTTCTTTTGTTTTAATTATTTAGAGGAATTAATTGGTTTTAAAAATGTGTTTAAAAACACAAAATCATGTAGAGGCTTGGTGTGTAACTACTACTGTCTGCTAGTGATTAATGCATTCAATTGGATACTTTATTTTTTATTTATTTACTAGAGGCCTGGTGCACGAATTCGTGCATGGGTGGGGTCCCTTGGCCTGGCCAGCGATCAATAGGGGCTGATCAAGGTGGCTGTCCAAGTGCGGGGGAGGTGGGGCGAGGAGGGGGAGGGACCACGGGAGTTGGCCATCTGCGGGAGGTTGGCTGTGGGAGTGCACTGAACACCAGGGGGCAGCTCCTGCATTGAGTGTCTGTCCCCTGGTGGTCAGTGTGTCATCATAGTGACCGGTCAACCAGGCATTCGGTCAACCAGTCATAACAGTCGCTTAGGCTTTTATATATAGAGATTTTTAAAAATATATATTTTATTGATTTTAGAGAAGAAAGGAGAAGGAGAAATAGAAACATCAATGATGAGAGAGAATCATTGACTGGCTGCCTCCTGCATACCCTCTACTGGGGATCGAGCCCGCAACCCAGGCATGTGCCCTTGGCCAGAATCGAACCTGGGACCCTTCAGTCCGCAGGCCAACGCTCTA